ACATGACATTAGCAACTGATAATGTAGGAAACCGCAAATGTACATAATCAATTGCATGAACGTACCAAAGCAATCACAACTTGTTCAAAAGAATGATATACTGCTATTATGATGTGCACAAATGACTAGATGATGTGGAGGTTGACCAAGTAGTTTTGAGTATTTCATTTCTGATCTGAGAAAATACACCAAAGCGACTGAGAAAAACTGTAAAGAATGTCTTAGATTCATTTAAAATTAATATACAGTATAATTGTTCGCTGTCTGTTAAGCAAGGAAGTTTTAAAACTACTTTAAAACTTGTTTATTAAAACATATGTATATTTTTAAGCGTCAGAAAACTCATTCAAGTATTTGTATGGAAAGTAGTCAAAATTCAAATGCTACAATATACTTATCTTGTCTAAAATTTGCCATGTTTCTTAAAAATGAGCTATTTAGTGGGTTATTTTTGGAATCTTATTTTCTAATTGATTCCCATATCTCTACTTGCATCTGCACTGTAGACATCATTGGATTGTCAACATGACAACCTCCAATAATTTGCAATACACAATTTTTGTACATTTTGGAAAAATATTTTGCAATTATAGTGATGCTTATGTTAAAACGCCACAAAAAAGAAAGATAATGCTATGAAATCACAATTTTTTGTAAGAAAAGCAAAAGCATATAAGACTCATACTTTTTTTCTAGCTAAAATTGGTATGTTGCATTTTTAAGTCTCTAGTATTAATGAGACCTGCCCCCAAAAGATTTGTATTTATTGTTAGATTTTGTATAGCAATATTTAACTGCTAAACTGTACATTTGTTTGTATTGAAAGCCCTTTACATACCTAGATATTAAGCAAGCTACCATTCCGTTTTCTGGAATAAAAATGTCAAGCTTATTCAATAATTTTATGCATTCTGAATATATACCACCAGATGGCAATAAAACATTAAGAAACAGTTGAAAGAGATGGCGTGACAATCCTGTTGTACAAAATGCGAACTTGTCTGTTTCCCAGACAGATTACAGTTCATTTAAGTGTGTACTTAAAATAGAGAACATTCTGCTCTCAGTATAAGGTCACAACCTTCTGTTTTGTTTTGTTTTTTGCTTCAAGTGTTTAATCATATAAACATTTTCCAGTCCTACACTGTATTTATTCTTAGAAGAGTTTTTCCTATACACGACACATACGTGCTCACAATCTTATTTTACGTGAGAGGAGCTCTTCATAATCCTCCCACACTTCTCGTGAATCGAATAAAACTCGGCACAGTCCATCACTCTTTTGTCATTTACCTCGAAAAAAGGTTTGTGGGTATACTGGTGACTCCCTTAACGGGACTCAAACATGGTTTTGTGGAGGAAAGTGCACCTGTCTCACCCTTCATAATGCTATACAGGCCCCATTCTGACGTTCACATGGGACACCGAAACAAATGATAAACCGCTGCACGGTGCCCGCCAAGGCAGTGACTGAACAAGGTCATATAGGAGATGGTGACTATTACACAGTTATTTGTGCCTTTGCTCCAGGCAGATCCCAGAGATCATGTATTTGGATACTGCTGCAGTATCGTCATAGTTCGGGACTATTTCGTATGCAAATAAGCAAACTTTGGGTAAAATTAATGAATAGGAGAGAAGCATTATTATATATGATGGACTCGTATTTGGCCAGAAGTGAAGATAAAAAGATAAAACACCTCAATGATTGATTTGTTTCTTATAAACATGCAACTTTTCACTTTATAAGGTGTTAATTGATGGTCTGACTCTGGAGTTGTGTGGATTACTTGTGGATTATTGTGATGTTTTTATCAGGTGTTTAAACTCTCATTCTGACGGCACCCATTCACTGCTGAGGATCCGTTGGTGAGCAAGTGATGTAATGCTAAATTTGTTCAAATCTGTTCTGATGAAGAAACAAACTCATCTACATCTCAGATGGCCTGATGGTGAGTATATTTTCAGAAATTTTGTTTTTTTTGGATGATCTATTCCATTACAGGGAATATTTTTCCATATTTTTGTTCACCTAAAAATAATTGTTTTTACTCCATTTTTTAATGATGTTTCATGCCTGTATGACTTTCTTCTGCAGAACACAAAAGAAGATTTTGAAGAATTCTTTTGCCTATTTTTTGGGGGTCTAAAACACCATTGGCCCCCAGTGACGTTCACTGTATACTATTGACATTTTCTAAAATATACTTTATTATTTAAATATACTTTCCATTATTGTTTTGGACCCCATTGACATTGTAAAGACAAAACAAAAAGTTGAAACATTTTTCAAAAATATCTTCTGCAGAACACAAAAGAAGATAATTTGAAGAATGTTTCAACATTTTTGTCTACAATGCATGTCAATGGGGTCCAGAACAACAAAGGATCCCACTGACTTTCACTGTATATTGACATTTTCTAAAATATATTTTCGTATTAAAGGGGTCATATGATGCTTTTTTAAAGCTCATTATTTGGTGTAACAGAATATGTTGACATGCTTTAATGTTCAAAAAACACATTATTTTTTAAAATACTGTACATTATTGTAGGTCCTCTATGCCCCGCCTCTCTCAAACGCTTCGTTTTCTACAAAGTCCCTCCTTCCGACAAGCGCAGTCTGCTCTGATTGGCCAGCTGACCCAGTGCATTGTGATTGGCCGAACACTCGTCGGAAATGTAAAGCCCCTTTCCATAATCGCAAGCTTCATTTTTCAAAATAAATGCAAAGACAGAGCCCGAAAGAGGGGAACAGAGTCAATGACAGACACAGTGATGAAGCTGATATGTGTTTGCAGTACACAAGCCACGGTTAAGACAGCTGACTCCACTGTGATGTGACCCCCTCTCTCTCTCTCTCTCTCTCTCTCTCTCACACACACACACACACACACACGCACACAATTACCTCCTCTCCTAGGTTCACGAAACAGTGGTCCATAAAATGCATTGCTGTTCTGTTGTAAGTAATCTTAAAGATTCCTAAATGCATCTACTTCCAGAAGGCCAAATAAAGTGCTTATGCTTTCGCACTGAAACACACAGCGTCTCCCTGACATAGCTGCTTCAACACTAACTGCGGTTACTGAAACCACGCCTTCTTTCTTTGCGTGCACATTTGGGCTGCATTATGCTAATATTTCCACATAGTGAGGTAGATATGTGGGGGCGTGTTAGAACGAGCCGTTTTAGGGGGGCGTGGCAGAGTCTTAACTTTGATAAAGAATATCTCTTTGGTTTTGAGACTTTAGTCTTTGCAACTTCAGGGATCTTATCTATGCACAATCAGCTTGTAACACTCCAAAGAGAAAGGAAAACTTGAAATCGCATCATATGACCCCTTTAACAGTTTTTGGTTGAACTATCTATTTATTTATTCAGTGAGCTAGTTGAGTTGATAGAAAGAAGATCTGCTATTTTGTGTCAAGTAACTTTAACTAACCAGTTTTAACAGCAGGTGAATTCCCAGCAGGATACTTTCCCATATTTAAGGTTTAAGCACAGTAAATGCATCTATATGATTGTCAAAACAGGTGCATCTTTGCTGCAAATTACTCTCTGGCATAATTTATTTGACTTTTCTTTATAGCTGACCATCTTATTGCTTGATCTACATCTCTGGAGTTGGAATCCCCTGCTGTGAATATGTAATAGGTAGACTGATTGTGATAGAAAGAAAAAAAAGGTGCACTGTTCGCTTCTGTGTGAAATTAAATTGGTATGAAAAACGTGAATGGATCAGCATGTGGCTATCTCCGCCTGCCATCCCTGCTGGCTGTGGGACATGGCTGGACCTTGGGCAGCCGAGGTCCAACTTGGCTCTGTTGCTTCCATTCATGGCTCAATAGGAAGTCCTTCCTTTTGTGGAGCCTAAACAGATGAAGACAAATCCATCCAACCTGTGGGACTGCGTAGATAAGATGCTCTATAGCTTGTTGGCCTCATAATGGCTATTGTTATAGAACTGGAAACCTACAACACGTAAGTCTGCTTGGTTTAGCGGCTTGAATATCCATGGAAAAGGAAATGTTGTTTTATAAAACAAATCTTATGTTGTAAACATCAGTAGTGGTTGTCATCTAGGGACTCGGTAAACTTCCAAAGAGACCAAAATATTTAACTATTTATATTATATTATATTATTAAAATATTAATATATATTCATATTAATATACATATATTCATATATATAATTTAAAGTTACATTAAAACAATCTTAAACTGAAATAATATGATAAAATGCCTACAATTTACTGACATTTTTATCAATCTCAAGTATGTTACATACATATGTTGCACACACACACACACACACACACACACACACACACACACACACACACACACACACACACACACACACACACACACACACACACCCTCACACACTCACCCACATGTCTGGTCAGCTATCCTTGTGGGGACTCTCCATAGGTGTAACGGTTTGTCTACTGTACAGATCATATATTCTATTGCCCTACACCAACCCTACACCTAAACCTACCCCTTACAGGAAACTTTGTGCATTTTTAGATTTTCAAAAAACTTCATTCTGTGTGATTTATTAGCTTGTTTACCTGTGGGGACCTCAATTTAGGTCCCCACCATGACACGAGTCCCCATGAGTCTGTGTGTATTCAGGCTTAAGTCCCCACCAGAATAGAAAAACAGGTACACACACACACACACACACACGTACGTATACAAACAAACAGAAATTCAGATGCAGCAATGTAAAATGGGGGCTTTGGGGTCAAAAAGGCTGAGAACTAAACGTGCTTTACAGAATGTATGCCCTTTTTCCTCATTTTATCAACCAATATAAATCACATCATTCATTTCATTCAGTTATGGAAGCTGCTTGTCTTTAGTAGCCGGGCTAAAGAGATTACGATGAATCATAATGTATAGCCTGAGAACGCCAGGATGAGTAGAGCGCATCTTCTCGAAAGCGCCGCATGGGGGCGTCGTTCGCACACTTTGAAGCACACTACGCGTACTTCTGGCGCTCGCGGAGAGAAAGAAACATCGCTTGGAACTGTTTATCCTGACGTCAGTTTGAACAGCTCGCACTGCCCCCGTATCACTTCACGCGACTCTGAACTGAGCTTCGGCTGGATTTCGGGAATCGATGAACTTCACCATCCAAACAAACTACCGGAGCCCCTGATATGATTTCGGCTTGTTTTCCCAACTGGACTAACAACATAAAATGAATACCTGCGCATTTCTCTTGATCCTGGCTGTTCAGATTCACGCCGACAGCGTAGAGGGACCAACAGGTAAAGTCCCGTTTATCTGGAGTTACAGAGACTGCGCACTTTCAAACTTGTGTGTGTTTTGAGGACATGAGAAGCATAAGCGTGTTGTCTTGACAGCAAAGGGAGGCTGAGTTGCACTTCGAAGCCGCGTAACTTTTCTGATAATGGAGAGATTTGGTCTCGGTTGTCATAAAAACAGTAAAGATGCCATCAGAAGCTTAAAATGAATTGTGTTTCGGGCTGTTTGTTATTTGGCGCGAGACTCCTGTTTAAACATTCCCTCAGATTGACGTAATTCATAGAGTGGGTCTTTGAGTTATTGTTATGTTATTTCTCATTGAAAGCACACGTCTGGAAGTTGTTCGGTGTAAAGTAAACAAGTGCAGCCTCATCTGCGAAGCTTTAAATCAGTGGTTGAATTAACGAATCATTTGTGGCTGCACCAGACGTGTTATAAAGACGGCGAGGTGGCTCATAAATTGGTGTTTTAAAATCAAATTCATGTCAGAAGGATTTACAGTGAGTTTAATTTGAAAGGGAATTAACCACCAGCAGCATTTAAGTTATTTTTTTGTTTTAAACTGAATCTACTTTTCTGATTATTCAAATCACTCGATTTGTATCTTTTTGTGGGCGGTCGGCTGTATGCCTAAAACAAACATTTATTTATTTATTGAACCACGGAATAATCATCATACACGTATCACCAGAATTATAATTTTTTTTAAATGTATTTTGTTTATTTTTGCTGTTTTAGTAGGGCTAAGTGTCATACGGTGAAGTGTATGTGCAGAGTAATATGAAGTACAGTGATGTAACCTACTGCGCTCTTTATTGCTGATAAAAGCCCTCCTATTCAGTTTTGCATATGAATGATCATAGCTTGTTTATGAGTTGTTCACGCACCGAAGCGTCCTAGATGCTATTATCTCTGTTTCTTAATCAATTTAATAACAAATCTGTCTTTTTAAAGTCCATCTTGAGTTTGGCTCCACTCTTATGTCATTTTTTTTTTACTGTATTAAAAATGAGGGAATAAATAGCTGGTTTACTGGTCTCGTCTAGTTTAAGAGGGTCTGACCAAGCTGATGTTCATCTGATTTAGCTGTCTGTGCTCAAAACCAGCCTAATGACCAGGCTGGGAGACAACTTAAGCAAACCAGCTTAGGCTGGTTATTTATTTATTTGCAAGGTAATGTAAAGATTGGGGTACATTTTAATTAAGAAAATATACAAATGCAAATTGTACACATTCAAAATAATCATATTTACCATCTAATACTGTTTTCCCTCCTGAAAAAAATACATGTAAATCACCTGCTGTTGGTTAGAACTGGTTTATGCTGGTCTCCCAGTCTGGTCAAGCAGGACACTCCGCTGGTTTAGCTAAACGGCCTTTAGAACACCTATAAAACAAACCAATAGACCCGAGCCTGACCAGACATGGAGACCAGCAAACCTTTTTGCATTCTTACATTTACATTATTTTCCGTTATTTAGTGTGTTTTTAAGCTGCTTTCGTCATGAGGAGCATTGGCTGTTCTCCACAGTTTTTGATTTCAGGTTTTACTATCCTCGTAGGCATAACCTGATCCGCACACGCACTGAGATTATGAACTGCTTCCTCCTCCACACTGTCAGTGGGCTGTATGAAGACAGAGCAGGTACAGGGAAACTGAAGGGTGCCCCGCGTGTGATTGCTCATAATGGACCACTCCCTCGGAGCTAGGCTGTAGGAGACATGTCGCATGATTCGGCCAAGAATCTTAACAAACAATCATGATCCGTTTGAGGAAGCTATTGATTTTCAGTTAACTAAATGGCTTCCATTTAGCAAGCTGTCAAGTAGCTGTAGGGTTCTGTAACTACTGCTGCGGTCTGTGCATTCCCTCTGTTCTTCAGCTGCAGTCTAATCCTACTTTCTGTTGGTTTTTGGCCTGATTTACACAGTGTAATCCACTCTTATTGTGTTCGACTGCTGTTTCCGCCATTGTTTTTTCCCACTGTTGTTTTACCATGGCCTGGTTGACAGAAGGCAGCGATGAGTGACCTGATGTGAGATGAATACAGGCATTGTAACCAAGTGTCTACTTCATTTTGAACTTTTTACACCCTCCCTGTCAGGCTACATGCTTCTGTTTTGTCAGTTGTGCATCATTATTTTGACTTTGTAATATGATCGTAATGAATGGATGAACTTTCTATGCACTGATGACGTCATTTAAAAAGAATTGAATAGTTTGCAAAAATGTGTAAAAGCAAAAAATCCTTCACCACTCATATAAAAGTATTTTTATTTATTTATTAATAAAAAAAATAAGCAATGTGCTGGTAAGATTGTTTTGACAATTAAAATGGACAGGAATCAGTAATTAGATTAATAATTAAGGTTTAATTTTTTCCCTTACTTCTGAATAGCATAATGATTGCGTAGCTGACCTCAAAGTGATTTTACCTTTCAAGGATATTTTCTTTTAGTTCTCTTGTTCATAATCATAGATGCTGTCGCAATCCAACCTGTGTCGCTATGGAACTGACACAAGCAAATGTCTCTCATAATAAGGGGAATGAAGCACATCATTAGGATGAATAGGGAAATAATTAAAGCACATGAAGATAATTATACTAAAGCTGAGACATAATGGGGCAGCTTCACATTAGCTGCCTAGTGATGGAATCTCTGGAGGCTTGACATGCAGTTCTCTTTGTTGGGATGTGCAGCTATGCTCTATTCTGATGTATTGACATCTGGAATAATCTGGTAAAGTCAGATTATGTCAATAGATATAATCTAGCATAATATCGTATTTATTGCTCAATGTGTGTTTCATAGGAGTTGATGTGATGTGGGTCTTGTTGATAAAATTATTAAGAGAAAATTTGCTCAGTTTACACAATACAGCTGCTGAATGTGACTTGTTTTTAATGTGACCTACAATAAAAATGAAATAAAGAAACTTAAATAGGTAGATATTAGCAGATTAAAATTATTTTAATGATTATCATGTCATGTGACCCCATATTATTTCTAGAGAGCCTAATTGTAGTAAAAAACAACAACAAATAAATGAAATTGATGACTAATGGACTGGACGATTGTTTTTCTGTGACACATGTTTGTGACAATTTCCATTTAACTATTTTTAAAGGAAAGTTTCTTAAAGTTTCTCACAGTTAATTATTGTGGGACACTAAATTTCAGCATCTGTTTTAAAAGTAATTCAAATGAATTAAAAAATAATTATATCTGGTGTTACTTGTAGCATGTATCTGGACTTTTCAAATGAGTGTTTATCTATTTAGTTTAGTTTAGTTTTCCTTTTACTAATAGCTATATCAGTTATCAGCTTTGAAATATAAGGAATTATCATTGTAAGTACCAGCCAAAATTTCCATATGGGTTCATCTCTATTAATTTTACAGGATATTTACTCAAAATTGCCACTTTTGTTCATTGGCAAAGTGTAGGCTGGATAAATAGACTTGGCTGATGTTGGACTGTCACTTTAGAGGAGTACATCTTATACACAAGCCCTTGAATTTGAATACCGTTTTAATATGTTATCAACCATGTTTGGAAAGGATGAGTTTCTGTCCTTCCCCTGTGCCTAATTGGCCTCCTCAGGTGTGCTGGACTGTCAGTCCTCTAGCTAAGATATGGCTTAGACTGCAACTGTTTCTTGTAGTACAGAGCATGGCATGTGCATCAAGCAGGGCTCTACGCTTACTTTTATATTTAGGAGTGCTTGTGCAATTTAGGAGCACCTTCTAATCAGTAATAAAAAATTCTGATAAAAAAATCAACCTTCCCATTAAGGAACGAAGTACGTGACTGTTTATGAATGGGTAACTGAATCATTGACTCACTAGATTCATTTAAAAACGCAGTTCATTCAGAAACGAATCACCGCTGTGTTTGAATGGAGATGCACAGCGGCTCAGCTGTTACTTAGTTTGAAACTATTTTTGTTGACAAAATAGAGCAAAATAAGGCAATTGTGTTGTTGTCAGACAATATAAGTCACTTAATATTAGCTTATTGATTTAATACAACAGTTCATTAAACAAGATCACATTTGCAAACTCCCTTAATAATCATTAAAAGCACTCATCTTAGTTTATCGTGATCTCACAAAACTCCATTATAATCGACGAAGCTCTCTACACTGCACAATGAATCTCTTATTTACACCCCGTCAACACTTTGTTTGTTATAATGAGAGGATATGTCTGTGATACATTACTCAACGCTGCAGAAACACGTACGTATATTAGAACCTTTGAAGCTCCCTCAGCACAAACACAAATATGCTGATCGGGTCAGTCGCACAGGTGCTCCTAAATATTATTTCATAGTCGCACGCAGTAGTTTTCAGTCACAAATGCGACTGAAATGGTCGCACTGTAGAGCCCTGTCAAGGTGTTAACCATTTTTCTGGGATCCTGAGTAGCTGGGTGAGTCTAGATCATGGAAAGCAGCTATCTTTCACAGTGCCATAATCGTGGGCATGATGCAAATTACCTCAGGACATGAAACCGTCTTTGTTTGCTTTCAAAGGTGCTTTTAAAAGGTGAAGAATGCAGTTTCTGCTCTGTAGTGTGACCTAATATAATAACCTGGAATTATAAAAGAAGCATATTTCCAAAACAAACACCATTGTCTGAGTATTTTGGCAAGTCTTTTGGCTTGCATTTCTCTAACCGAATGTGAATTTTTTCCCCCATTAAATGCATCAGCCGTGGTCCCACACTGGCTAAACACCCTCTGGCTCAGCCTGCAGTAGCTATTCCCCAAACTATAACTATTAGTTAAGCTGGAAAGAGATGAATGGATCTGAACAGACAGCTCAAAATGTTGTGTTAGTGCCTGGGAGGCTCAATGTTTACATTTTAGAGGAGATAAAACCTTGAATGGCATATTTAGTCAATGAATAATAAACTGGGTTAAGAAAATGCATTTTGGCATAAACAAATCTTACAAACTTCAACTTTAAAGGAAAATGTCACCCAAAATGGAAAAT